AGTACCCATAAAATAAACTCTGCTTAGCTTAAGACTAGATGACGCTGTGTGAATTGTCTATATCCATATTAATATAGATTTTAATTAAACAGTAATTAAAGCAACTACACGATGCCATCATTGTTTTATTAATTAATTGAAATAAATATAAAAAAAACTCTATACATCTATACATACTTACATAGAAATAAAATTAGAGTGTCTGTTAGTAATATTGGAATAATTGTTTTTACTACATGCATATGAATATAAATACATATAGGTACATACACCAAAATAACATCTTTTATTTTGTCTGTCTGTCTCTTTGTTCCGGCTAAACTCTGAAATCGCTGGACCGATTTTGACGGGACTTTTATTGGCAGGTAGCTGATGTAATAAGAAAAATAAAGTCCCACGCGGACGAAATCGTGTATACAGTTAGTACATACATAATATGCATAGAAAACACCCAGACCGATACAAGCAATCATACTCATGAATACAAATGTTCGTACCGTGCGAGGAATCGAACCCGAGGCGGATTACAAAAAAAACGGCTAGCATAATTATAATTGGGATTTATTAATTCTAACAAATTGCATAGTCATGTTCCTATTGTATTAGAAAAGTCAGTTATTAACAATCTCTCGTAATTGGATGCCAGATGTAAAAATACAAAGATAAATTCGTGTACGGCATAAAAAACATCTTCCGCGCGTTGAAATCATACAAAAGATACATTCATCAGTCGTGCCTTATGGGTCTTTATTGAATTTTGAACATTGTTATCTTTCAAATAAGGTTTCCTGTTTAATAATCTTAGTATCTCACTAATGTATATGAACGCTAAGGTTTGTGAGTATGGATGGATTTTTGTTACTCTCACGCAAAAACTACTGAACGAATATTGATGAGACTTTACAGTAGTATAGCTTATACATCAGAAATACAACATAGGCTATAAAATTCCTGCGGGTGAAACCGCGGGCACAGATAGTATAATATAGTGATTTTAATTTCATAATTTATGTTATAATTTCAACATATCTAACTATAACTTTACAGTAAGTTCTCTATTCTTAGGTTTACAAAAATAACTAAACTACGAATGTGTTTCTTTGAAAAATTGTCATGACTGAGCGGATATTGATGAAATTTGGCGTTAAAATAGATTGCGACAAAGAGACGGATGCATAATCTATACATATAAATAAAATTGGAGTGTCTGTTTGTAATATTGAAATAACCGTTTTTTACTACATACATATACAAAACACTTTTTACAATTTTTGACTGTCCGTCTGACGGTCTTCTTTTGGCAGGTAGCTGATGTTATAAGAAGTAACTTGGCTACTTTTTTTTTAGAAAAATAAGATTAAAATCCACACACAGAATAAAACACCCAGACCGATACAAATAATTATACTCATAAACACAAATAATTTTGCCGTACGTGGAATCGAACCCGCGACCATCGGAAGCAAGACGGTGTGCTAAACCGCTGCACCACCGAGGCCGTCAATAAAGCTTATCTTGTAAATAAACTGTTACGGTGTCAGCAGTTAGTAATAAGAATAAGTCAAGTTACTGTAAGTAACTGTAAGTAAGTTGTGCAAGTAACAATAAGTAAAACAAACTTACAAGTACACCGATGTACTAAGTTATTGTTACAAAGTTTATAAAAGTTTCATTTCAGAAACAAAAATGTGGAATACCCTGAATACCATATGATTCTGGAACGGCCTCGAGCAAGTAGGTAATGGGTTGTTATTTTTTATGGTAAAAGGGTGCCCGAGTGTCTTCACAGTAGGTTATAACCATTATCCATACGGAGAAAGACTTTTTATACCGGTTTTTAATTTTTTTTCTTTTTTATAGGCCATAAAACGCTGATATGATCGGTAAGTAACCTGTCAAGGAATAGGTTTCATTTTGTTTAAAATTATTCTCTGCAGCAGAAATTAATATTATTGTTTTCTTTTTTACACAGCGAAGTTGGTGATTATTAGATATATATATAGAATTATTATTTTTATTATTATTATTATATATAGAATTAAAAATAAGTGTGCACTGTTTTTACACTCTAGACCAGGGATTCCAGAACTGGGTTCCGCGGAAACTAGGGGTTCCGTACAATAGTTATCAAGCCAAAATTATGTATTACTACTTATGCTCCGCCGCTGTCTCTTCGCTTAGATCTTTTAAACTACGCAACGCAACTATTAGTATAGAACAAGCCGAAAAATGTTAACATAATATTGTTGTGGGCGATAATATGAATGGATAAAAAATGATAAATACATATAATGAAGATACAACAACAACATGCAAGGCAAAAGTGACAATGAAAAACATGGCAATTTTATAAAGAAATTGGTAGAAATATAAATACATAAAAATTTGCCTATTATCATTGAAACTGCGACTTTATGTGATACTATGCAAAGATAGAGAATAAAAAAACTTAAATTATTACTCCTCGATTACCCAACATAAAGTTTACGTAGTTTCCATTGTTTTATCAGATAGACATCACGAGAAAACTCCATTACATCAGATCATGTAAGGTCATCATTTTCCCAAATACTAATAGGACCTTTTTCTAATCTTCAGAACTATCTCCACGTGACGAAGCATAGTAATGAGGGTTATCATTAACCCATTTTTCTGAGGCGGCAGTTTTTATCAGATCCAACTCGTCTCCCATCACAATTGCTACCGCTTTTACCGTTGGTAAGTCGTAATGTAATAAACATACTAGTAACCCGACTTTCTAGTGGAGTATTCTGATAACTTCGTGACCGAATTCTACACCGTCATTGATGATGAGATGAGTGTCGGTACATCTATATGGTATCAAATGCGTGATAAATTAAAATACATATCTATAGTAATAGAAGTAGAAATAATCATATTTTTTATTCTTCACACATTGAGAGACACAAATAAGTAATTCAATTGAGTTTCTTGTCAGTTCTTCTCAATTGGATCTATATACTGAACTGGACAGGAAGGGAAATTATAATATAAAAAATTGACATTCATAAGCAGCTAAAATATCCCACATGAATAAATTATTATTGAATTTGAAAAAAATGAGAACGTAGTCTTATTACAAGAAGATAGAGAGAGAAACTTGCGTGTTGCTCTTTTAAATAAATCTGCAGAATTACATTTTTAAGATTTATCTGTTGATACAAACTGACAAATAGCAAAGTTGACGTAAATAGTTACTTGAGTAACACAAATCCATCATAGATATCAGAACCCAGGAGATACTATAGTGGATAGTTTTAAGGTCCTCCGACCGACTATAGTGTGGATAGTGTTTGTTGAGATATCGATTTTACATGAATAATTAAATATTAATTATATATGTATAAAAGACATCTATTCAAAAAAGCAACACACAAGTTTCTTGCTCATTCTTCTTGTGAGGAAACTGCGTTCAGAATGGATGGTAAAATAAAAAATATGACTATTAAAAAGTGCTTCAACTGAGTTTATTTAAAAAAGATTATTTCTATTTCTATTTAATAAATAACCCTGGACAATTTACACAGAGTTTGTGTTATAAATACGTAGATAGTTTTTTTTTTAAATACATACATAATATACATAGAAAACACCCAGACCGATACAAACAATCATACTCGCGAATACAAATATTTGTACTGTGCGAGGAATCGAACCCTTAATTAGAAGTAAAGCGGTGTGCTAATGGCCGTTGAATTAGATTCTTTTCGAAAGATTCACATCATAAAAAGAAAATAATTACTGTGATAAGGTCACAGTAACTTCAAATTTACTTAAAATGTTTTATATCTTTCTTTCTTTAATTATTAGCGTATATCGGAACTTAATTGTCTTTTGAATTCAATATTGTAACATTTCATAGATGGCTTTGGTAATTCTGTTAACGGCATCGTACAGACAGATGGATAATTGTTATCTTTTGGAAGGAATTGTTTCATAAAACACTAGAGTATAAAATTGATTAGGTAGAGTTTTTCAGTAACATTTATTTTATCAGAATTTTCTAGTTACGTACTATGATGTTAGATGCATTTGGTAGCTTGCAGAACAACGAACTCCATCTGGATTCCATCTGGATCCAATGTCTTATGAATGACTAGCTGCACGAAGTCGCGGACTTCGTCCGCTTTACTTCTTTTTTTTTAAATAAAAGTAGCCTTAGTTACGCCTTATTACATCAGCTACCTGCCAATAAAAGTCCCGTCAAAATCGGTCCAGCCGTTTCAGAAATTAGCCGGAACCGGAACAAACAGACAAAAATTGTAATAAAAAATTTTTTTACATCAATATTACAAACAATTCACACTCCAATTTTATTTATGTGTATAGATTATTTATCAATGAGTTTGCAAATTGTTTTATAACTAACAATAAATTCCGCATAAAAACTTTCTAGAATTTGAATGTTTTCATAATGTTTAGGTAGGTATTATATTCAAATAAGAATATGAATGTTCGATAAATAAAACTCACTTCGCATAGACAATTTCCCTACATGAAAACGTTGTAATTAATTTTACTGATAAGACGAAAATAATTTTAAAAACAAATATCATGTTCTAAATAAAAAAAACACGAAAAATCACATCTACCTACTAGAAAAAAGATCTGTAATAGTGATTACATTCCGCGCCGTTATTTGTGTACACGCAAAGTTACTGAAATAAAATAAATATAATGTAAACGAGTTTATTATTTTAAAGAAACAGTATATTAAGAATATTTTAAAGCAAACATTATAAGTTACACAAGTGTATATGAATGAATTAGAGAAAGATAAGCATAAAAGAATTGTAAGTCTTAGATATTGAGGGCTGATAGGAATCAGTATCTACACAATACACTAAATACCGACTCTAAATAATAGCACGACAGTCCTACAGTAAAGAATAAGTTATATTATTTATTGATTCAAAAGAATATAGAAATCTTCGCTATTGTTTTATAGAAAAATTATATGATGCAGATTAATTACTTACAATAATAAACAACAATCCAAAGCACATACACTGGAATTTCCTACAAAATTAAATTGTCACATCCATAAAAGTTAATGTTAAAGTATTATGCAAAGAATTGTAATCACATCGCATGGGTACAAAATTCAAAACAAATTTCACTTCACGTATGCAAACGAGACCACAAATCGTTCGCGTTTACTCTATTGAGTTTGGGACGTAACGTCCGACCTACGCGACGGTCGCGATTTGACTGACTGATTTAACTCGACGCTCTAAACAGCGGGGAACAGGGAATATAGCGGGTAGGGACTCCGGGGTGAAGGGGACATTCTCCAACGTGCTACAACCGAGGAGATAACTTTTGATCTTTTTGGAGCTATAGACGATTTTAATGATGCAGTCACATCTGGAGATTGGTTAGAAAAAGTGCGCATCACAGCTTTAAGTGTTAATGCATGTTAAAGGCTCAGTGGAAATGATGTGTTAGAAAAAACGTAGTTACGCTTGCGGGTGACAATTCTAAAAATAATACGGAATTGAAACAGATTGTATAGGTCTAATATTTAATAAAAGTTCAGACAAATACGACTTTCATATTTCCAATTTTATACAATCCCTGAATTAGATTTTGCGCGAGACGGTTTGTATTTGAAAGAAATGTAATATGCTTTCCTCAAAGCGGCATATTGCGTTTTATATTCTTCCGTATTATTTTCACATCATCCAAGAGATCTCAGGGCAGACAATATTGCGCAAAGGCGGTTTTTGTCCCTGCCCCGCACATGTCAGGGGCTGCACAAAGAGCCGTAGACTGAAGCAGGTACAAAAGAACCCAACCCTGGTTCAAGTTACAACGGACTTCTCATAGATTAATGACGGGAACATTGTGGAGTTAAGAACCCAAAAATTTACAACTGCATTGTATTCTGCGTTTAACAAAAGAGCACAATAGATAGCATCGGCTTCTGTTATTACCTTATCGTTTATCGGAGCTCCGTGATTTCTCTCACTTTTCGAGTAATACGAGAGCTTTTATCAATAGTAAATTTCTTTTAACGTGAAACCCTGATCTGCCCTGTACAGATGTTTGGGAGGCGTACAGTTAACAAGAATACAAATAATCACATTGTTATTCTCAAGTATGAGGTATTTAAATCCAATTCTTATATTCTCAATTGGTAGTTTAGTACAGAATATTTTGTTTAATTTCTACCTATCTAGTTATTTGATATGTTTCTTAGAATTTTATTACTTATTATTGTTTCTGTGTAAAATGATGTCAGAAAATTGGTTGTTATGAACTAAATACATAATTTATAAGTAAGCAACAAACAAAATAAAGAAATACAAACCGCAAGACTGTATTGACAATAATGATTTATCGGTGTTCTCAGACCAAAGCCGTGACAAGTGTGGACCAATAACAAAACTATTGCAAGTTGCAGCCAATATAAATCATTTCAAACAGTAGTTCGGTGAAATAAAAGCCCTCCACACGAGCAAGTCACCGACGGTAATGAGTAATGGACGAACGTTCATTACTCAGCGCGACGCCCTGGAGTTTACCCGTCATCTGTCGTCAGCGTCGCTTTGCAGTCTCGTCTATAATAGCTCTATGGTATTCTTGTCTTGTCCTGTTCAGATGAGTTGTCTATGTAACCGATTATGCGTATAAGGTTAGTTAAATTGTGGTTTTTAATATTTAGTTAATAAAATATTATCTTAAAGATCAGTCAATATGCCAAAATATATCTTAAAATACGGTATTAAAACAAAGTAAAAGGTAATTTCACAAAAATATTAAATATAAAAAATCGTAATTTTATGAGAATATTTATTTCTGACTGGGTACTAAAAAGTTAATTTTTTTTATTATCAACATATTTGGTAATGTGCAACATCCCATGGCTTTATATTTTTTTATAACCAATACCCTCGCCACTGTATACCATATGCGTCCACATGTTGATTGCAATCTCTTAGGGCAGCCGAAATTTATTGACGCTATCAAGATTCTTACTTCAGTATTTCCGATAAGAGATATTCGTCTTACAAATTGTCTCATTTTTTAAATTCCCCAACGTTTATAATCCACAATTATTTGGAGATAATTAAAAGTCCTGATTGCTTGCCTTGTTTCTTCACCGCTTCACCCTGTTTGCTAATTAAGCCATACAAATGACTGGTGAGGGTCTAACCGCTATTCTGATTGCCTGTGACCGCTCCGCGTTGAGGAATCTATTGTTATTCGGAAAGCGTCCAGGCTTTGTTCATCCATCCGTCGTACATTCGATGCACTTCTTATTCTTATCGGGATTTTCTTCACGCTCACGTTTCAATGCACTGGCGTATACTAGTTCCTTTATGGCCAATTTACGCCAGACTCCGATAGAATTGTGGAGAAATGAGGACTGGTACGGAAAAGTCTATTTTGTTTTACGACATCGCTGAGTTGCTTTATCCAATAGTGTGATGTTTTTGAATTGTGTAGTAGGGGTCGTGACTTAAGATAATGTTCGATAGTGTATACAATGTACCGAAACTACTACCGATTACGTCAACGTTTGATAAATTTACAAATGTAGGATATGAATTATGGTATCCAAGTTTTAAATACTTTTTGTATAGGCTTAATATTAGTTTCGGTAGAACTCCTTAATAAAGAATATCCGACACAATTTGCATAAAAGTAGCTGCTAAGGCTAAAATATATTCGAAAACAAGCAACCGCGTCAGACATTCACTGTAATAACATTGCAAGTTTGAAATTATATCGCGAGCGCTTGTTGACTCCACAGTACCCTGAGGCAAGTCCATCGCTCATAGCTCAACTCAAACATCGAGAAAATTAATCCCAGTTTACTTCGTTAACTACCATTGGTTTGTTTATTTTTCAATCGTTCTGACTCGTTCACTTGAATTTAGAGATCACATTTCGTATAAATCGTCAACGTAAGGTTACCTGTTTAATATTCTACGTGACTTTCCAAATGCATTAGATTGCGTTCGAAAGGTTCTACTAAGGTTTAGTCTTTTTTATGAACCATTGCGTACTTATCTGGGCCTATTGTTAAAGAGAAATCGTTGGTAACGGTTATGCTTTTCCGTGTTTTCATATAGTTTTTTCTATATGATATCGTATCGTGTCATAAAGCAGTAAATTACATTAGAAAGCAATCACTGCAGATATTGTAACATGGACAAGAAATAATTCATTTTACTTTCATACAACATCGGAGCTTCTGAGTCGATAAAACAAGACTGGAATAACCACTAGCGTTTCGATACATTATCTCCTTACTTACAAACAAATAGAGACTGAATCCCGACTAAATAAGAGGTTTTCCTTCTGGATCGTAGAAAAGGAATAAAAGTGGCACGGCACTCGCTTGCTGCGGTTTTATTGTACCTAATAAAATCTCCTGAGCTTCGATACAGCGGCTGCTTGAATTATAAACGCGTTATACAGAGAATTCCGTAACAGTAGCGGCACGTTGGTGCAGTAATTTGTCTTGTAGGTCGCAATTTGCTTGCCGGAAATCTTAGCATCCCATTAATTGCTTATTTAATTCAATGTTTAACAATACGAAGTCTAGGAGTCCTACGGTCGGGGATATTTCATCGGGAGTTGTTTGAATTATAAACACGCTCGCGGGCCCGAGGCGGGATGGCGGTTCGTGGGCTACCGGTGCGGTCGGCTCACGACGCCATTTGTCTAGCGCCTACGGCCCTGGTTCGTGCAATTTGCATCTTTAGACCACGCCTAGCGGCTTCCACACTACATTATTCCTAACCATTGTTCTTTCCAGTAAAACAGCTATCTTTGCGATCGTCTATAGATTTTTAATGCTTCTCAGTTTTGTATTCTGTATCGTCTTCCTATTTAATATTCGTGTATGTTCTTCTATTTAATTTTAAGATCAAGTAATATGGAATCATATCTATCTATATCTAGAGATTACTTCATGAATTTATGTCGCTACTAATGTATTTATATATTTTAAAGAGGCTGTGTATATTTGTAGGGTGAAATTACAGGTTATGGATACATGGCGCTTTAGTTCTCAAGGATAGATTACCACAATATAGAGTGTGATGTCCGTGGTGTTATTTACATTAAACATATTTTAGTTAAATAGTTTATAAATACTAGCTGTTCCCGCGACATCGTCCCGTGAAATTTAACTTTATTTTTCTAAAATAAAAGTTGCCTAAGTTACTCCTTATTATCAGCTACCTGCTAAAAAAAAGGTACGTCAAAATCGATCCAGCCATTTCAGAGATTAGCCGAAACAAACAGACAGACAGAAAAATATTTTGGTGTATGTACCGTATTTAAATTCGGTTATTTCTATATTACAAACAGACACTCCAATTTTATTTATACGTATATCTAAATATATATAACTCAAAGGTGACTGACATAGTGATCTATCAACGCACAGCCCAAACCACTGGACGGATCGGGCTGAAATTTGGCATGTAGGTAGATGTTATGACGTAGCCATCCGCTAAGAAAGGATTTTGATTAATTCTACCCCCAAGGGGATAAAACAGGGGATGAAAGTTTGTCAATTTTAAACCGATCAGGCTAAGACTTTGCTTACATAAAACTACTATGACGTAGGCATCCCCTAAGATTTTGATAAACTCACGCGATTTGATAAATTAACGCGAGCGAAGCCGCGGGCAAAAGCTACACCTATATAGCACCCATTTTAATGTATGAGCTCAAAATGTACGTAAGTAACGTTGTAGGTAGTTCATTACTGCTTAAATTATACTGTAATATACTCAGTACATAAAGATCAAGTCAAGAAGCTGGTTCATGGCTGGTTCAATAACAATATCAGAAATAGACTGCAGTTCAGATTTCTCGACAGTATGTTTACTGTTTTTATTGGATTGTAAAATTCAATTATACACTATATGCTAATCATCGTAATTATACAAGCGACTAGCATATGACCATTATACTCAAACAAGCTTTTGCAAGTCAGTTTAACCGACATAACATATAGGAATAGAAATAGACAATCAAAGTCATCTAAGACATTATATGCCAAGATCAGAATATTCATCTTGGTATTTTTTTTACTATTCACACAGCGCCATCCAGACCTAAGTTAAGATTGTGTTATGGGTACTAGATAACTGATACAAATACATAGATTTTTTTTTTCGTAAATATATATATATTTAACATAGAAAATACCCAGACCAATACAAACAATCATACTCATGT